GCTGTGGCTAGGAGCCAGGAGGGAGAGACGGAGGGTAGGCTCTGAAGGCTGGTGGCTTCCAGCACCTGCCATCAGCCCAGCTCACCCCTACCTTCCCAGGAAACGAGGAGCCTGCTCTACCCATCTGGGTTGCAAGGGGCAACCCTTTCCTAATCTCTCCACCCCCATGTGACTCTGATAGTCATTTGAACCTGATCTCATCTGGAGAAATACAGGAGGGAGGAGTACGGGAGGAAGCAGATGTCGCAGAGGGACTTGGAAGACTCTGCACCCCCCGGGGAGTGGGGAGTAGTGTAGTGGCTGACAGAGCCTGGCTGTGCTCCGGGCAGAGCTGGGTTCAAATCCCAGCCCGGTCACTTATTCTGTTTAGCTGCGGGTTCATCTTCTACAAAACGGGAGTAAAGGTGATACAACTGCTGTCATGATGAAGTGAAATGATGCTCACAGAGTGACCAGCACGCAGAGCGCACTCATTAAACGCTGCTTCCCTTCCCTCTGCACTTCCAGGGGCTGGCCTGGCGTGGAGACGGTGAGGGTGCCACCGCTCTATCGTGGCGGAGCTGAAAAGGAGCGCTGCATATCCAGCTCCAACCACCTTGAATGGGATACAAGTGATAAGCAAATGAAATGGAATAAACTTGAACACATAAAGCCAAGTAGCATTTTCCGCACTCTCCCTCAAAGGAACTTACTGAAATATTGAAGAAAAAGAAAAAAGTCATTCTCGCAGTGTGCATATAATCTGATGGAGGGGAGGCTGTCGGTGTCAGGATCTGGAGGCTTGCTTCGTGGATTCTGAGCAGCCTGGATGGGTTGCAGATAAGCCTCCACACTGAGCCAAGCCCCGGAACCTTCTAAGACTCATCCCCAACCCTTTGCTGTAGAAACTCAAAATCATTCTTTCTTTATGTCTATTCACCCGCGATATCTCCCAGGCTCCCCAAATCCCCCTATTAAGCCTTCTGAAATCAGCAGAACCATCTGCTTTGGGCATGAAAATGAGATATTACAAAAAGTTGCCACACAAAGGTCATTATTTCTGGAGGACAAAGGGGGAAAACAAAGCTTTTCATAAAGGCTTCTGGAGCCGTCACAAAGCAACCATGTTCCCCCGGTTGGCGGAGGGCCTCTCCCTTCCTTCTCGCCGTGACTGCAGATGCAGCCTCCTCGGCAGCTTTGACATGCACGTTACGCAGCATGAGCAGCCTAATACTGTATTCCTCTCCCACAGCCACCGCCCGGCTGCTTCGCCCTGGAGCTGGGACTGTCAGAGGGTTGTGAGCTCATTAAAGCTTTGTCTTCACAGCCAAAGTAAAGTGAAGAATTGTAGTAATTACCTAAACGATCTGGTGAGGGGGAAAGAAACCACTTCGTGTTGAAAAAGATGGCTTTGGAGGACTGGTCTAAACATCTCCACCTTCTCAGCTCTCCAGGAGGTAATAATCTGTATGAGGACTTGTCCCTTCCCCCAACAGTAAAACGTAGACCAAGTGGCTCCCTGGGGGAAGATGCCAAGTGTCCAGCCTCTCCAGAACAAGACCAATCCAGAGCCTCCTCCTGAGTAGGCAAAGGACACATCCCCCCCTCAGATCTGGAAATGTCACATGGGAGAAACTCCAGGGACCTCAGGCAGCAGTTAAATACTGCCATTTAGAGTTCTCTAATCCAGCTGAGCAGAAATTTCCAGATTTAAATTGTGCTCACCCAGGCATGATGAATGGTCTCAGACAGTCTCGAGTTTGCTCCAGCTCTCTTCTCTGGCGGTCAAGTCCTTATTTGCCTCCACAGTCTACACCCTCACAATCTCAGGACTACATGCGGTTGCCAGTTGGGTGTCCAAGATAGAAAGGCAAACCACCAAGCTCCCATTGGGGTCCCCTTCCCCGAATTAACAGGTAATAACAACACAGTCAAGCGGCACTTGACAAAGACAAAGAGGCTGTTTAGTGTCCTTGAAAAACTTTGGCCTTGAAGTCATCTGGATCCGAGCTAGGATCTTCCAAGTGTGAGACCCTGAGCAAATTACTCAACTTCTCTGCACCTCAGATTCCCCAGGTGTTGTAATGGGGGATAATAGTGAGAATTAACAGAAAATGTAACATACAGCCCCTAGAGAGTGTCCAAAAAAAGAAAGAAAAGGGAGCATTTACTACTCATTCCACAAATGGTAAGCAATAGGCAAGGCGACTTTATCTGTCCCTCAAAACAACTCTGAAAGGCAGATTGGACATGTGTCTTTCTCCCAGGTGGTTTTGGCTTGTCCAAGATCACCCTGCTAGTTAGTTGTAGAGCCAGCACAAGATGGCGACCGTGTCTTGGCTCCTAGTCCAGTGCTCTCTCAACTCTCCCACATGCTCCTCTAAGAGTGGAGGGGTGGGAACTGGTCTGATAGGGCTCTGATGAATGAAGATTTCTCTTCTGTCTCGGTGGGATTAACGTAGGATTGCTTGCTTGGAGGAGGGCCCCACCACCCACGTGTCATCTCCCTGACCTAAGAGGAGACTGAGGGAAGCTACTCGCTCCCCACCCCCTCACCCCTCCCTGCAGATCAGAACCATTTATCTTGCTTTCATTTCTTTCTCTCAAAGTCCCTGAGGAAGGCTGCAAGCAGGACGGGGTGGAGCGGATGTCCCCAAGTGACCCAGGAGCTGGCTCAGGATGTCAGTTTTCACACCATGTTTCGCAGAACCCTAGACTCACAGAGGTGCTCTGGGGGCTGCAGGGGGCCGGTGGGAGAGGGGGAACAGGTACTCTGGGTCCCCTGTTCAATCAGAGCAATGCCAGCTCTTAGCTACAGGGCTGACTGGTGGGAAACCTGGTTTATTTATGTTGGGCTTCTGTGTAAGATTTAATTTCAGGCAAAGATTTACTCCTAAAAAAGAAATAAGAAAGAAAAGCTTGAGATCCATCTTTCTCAGAGCTTCTGAGAACAGAACCCAGAATTTCTCCTTGTGGATATTAAGGACAGAGGTGGGCAGCCCTGCTTGGAGTCAGAGCAAGCCTTCTCACACCTGGTGCACACCTTCAGGCACTCATTGGGCACCTGCTAGGTGCAGAGCCCTGGAAGAGGTGGCAGGTGGGTGAAAGGAAAATAGAGGAGATGACTCTTGTCCTTTGAGACTTTTGAGGAAGCAGAACAGACACCCCAGAGGCAGGAGGAGGGCCAACAAATGCTGATTTACACAGCCAGTCTGGTCCTGGGCCATATCCTGGAATTTTTTCCTCTTCTGTTTATACGCTCTATTTCCCCCAGTCCCGACTATGATTTTTCCAGGGGGCAGGAAACACCTCTCACTCAGCAAATACTTCCTAGGCGCTTATATATGTCAGCTATGGGAAAGGCTCACAGTCTTGTGAGAGAGCAGTAATTCCAGCATGGGGTAATCAATTTTCTCTGGGTAGTGGGGCCAGGGAAGGTACCGCAAAGGAGGCGATTTTTAGGCTATGTCTTGCAAGAACAGCAGCTCTCTGTATGCCTCTTTCACTGCCCTGGGGGTCCAGTGCTGCCTCTCACAGGACACCCATCAAAGATGCCAAGGACGTCAGCTTTGGGGAGGTATGACGTGAAGGCACGCTGGACACTCAGGTGCTGGTCTCCGAGGGCCTCTTGGAGGGAAGAGTTTAGAGCCGGGTTTTGAAGGAGGAGGAGCCGGGATTGGCTCCGAGGAGAGGGAGTGTGTCCAGGTTGGGATCGTGCCAGCAGCAAAGGCAATTAAGTGAAGGCAGCAGAGTTGGAGGAGGTGAGGGAAAGCCAGTTCAGCTCGAGTAGAGCGAAAGGCAAAAAGAAATCAAGGTATTGAAGAGGGAGCTGGGAAAAAGAGGGGAGCAGCTGGGGGCTGGGATGTCTGAATCTAGTACAATCGAGTGTTCCGGACTCGCAGTAATAAAGCATCAGAAACGTAATAACGGAGGAGAGCCCCGGCTTCAATCGCAGCCTCACCATCCCTTATAAAACAGGGATCCTATGTTCTTCCCAAAGGACCTCTGGCTGACCCCTCCCTTCTCCTTCAACCCCAAAGCCCGGGTGCCCCAAAGCCCTGCCGGAGATCGGGAGGAGCTGCCGGGGGCAGGAGCCATCTGGGTCGGGGAGGAGGGTGGCCCCGGCCTGGCTGCGACTCACATCTGGGCTTCTGGAAATCTGACCTGAACACTCCCACTCCCGCACTCACGCCGATACATTCATCGTCAGGTAAAGACATGGCTAGGTACAAGGGGAAAGGAGGAACAACACACACACACACACACACACACACACTCCACATAAGAAAGAGTCCTCAGGGCTAAAGAGAGTCTTAGGGGAGACTTAGAAAGAGTCTAAGGGGAGCCGAGTGTCCTGGGTTGGGTAAGTGAGGTGGCTGGAAACGTGGTTTCCCTTCAGTCCTCCTGGGGAACCCGTGCCTCGGCTCCCTTCGCTCTAATAATGTGAATGAACCCTGGGAGAGGAGGAGAGAGCGCGCGAGCGCGGAGAGAAGAGAGGAGGGGAGGGGAGGGAAGAGAAAATCCGGGCTGGGGGGAGAGAGGACGAGAGGGGAGCGCAACCCCGGGGAAGAGGGGGAGGACGAGGCGCGAGGGGCGGCG